ATTCACATTGTTGTATTCATTGATTACATGAATTTCTAGCCATCTACATTATAGATTATTGTGAATTATACTGCATTGTGAGGCAGTTCATGTGAGCTGTCACTGTTATGTAAGACCCTATCCCTCCTTGGAGACCCTAACATCTTAGCTTAGTAGCTTAGCATAGTGTTAACTTGCTAAAACAAGATGTCAGGATAACAATCTGTGTTTTTCATCAGGCTCTGGAGAGGAAAGCTAGAATTGTGCATGATGCTGTTATTCACATTTGCAATTCTGGTTTCTTTGTTACATGGCCAACAACATTGCCTCTGTATGTCAAATTTTATTAGCCAGTTTTCCATCCACATGAAGCTTGGTATATTACAAGCTAAAATGCTGGCTGGAAAGATGAAGTGGAGACATTCTTGGACGTGCATTGAAAAAGAAACACTAAGTTCACTCGGAGGAGAACAGGAAATCTATTTGAGGGTTTTCCTTTTTTATTTTGTGCAAATTTACCCATATGTGACAGTTTTGTTATATTGTTTTTCCAATATTTCGAATTTGCAACATGGACAAAAACGTGCAAAACCGTTCAAAAGGCGAGATTTGTGTAGGAGTGCATTGAACTGATCAAAAGTGACAGAAACATTCATGGTGTAACAAAATATCAAAGAATCATTCCAGCAAAACAGTCACAGTTTCCATAAAAAACTGTTTTCATGTCAGCTGAAATTTCAGTTTTTCTATTAAATTAAGAAATTACAATTTAAGAGCTGGTAGATTAGGAAATGTGGTGAAGACTTAGCAAACCATTTTCACATGCAGTATTTTGGAGTTGCCCAGCCATTTAGTCATATTAGCAGGATGTAATGCAAGTAATGCGAAATATTTTGGTGATGAAGTGGACTTTTCTTTTACAACAATTTACCTGGGCAACATTGCAGCCAACGTAATGGTAAAACACAAGTATTTAGTAAAAATACTTCTAGCAACCAGTAGGAAAGCTGTAACTCAAAAGTGGCTACAGCTCGAACCCCATACAAAATCTGAATGAAATCAAATCTTAGATATCCCTAACGTTCAAAATAGGGAGAGGATGACTTTGTCTATAAAACTAAAAGCTGATAGATACCTGTAATATTGGGAGAAATGGATTGTACGTATCCCTTTACAAAGTGTAAACTGATCTTTATATGTATTTTTTAATGTGAACTGTAAGGTAATATGTGACCAGTCAACTGTTCATTTAAGTTTCGATGTGTTATATTTTTTATTTAATTTTTATTATTTGTATTTTTTTTCTTTTCCTTTTTCTTCCTTAAAAAATAAAATAAAAATAAAGTATAAAAAAAGAGATATTAGATCATAAAACATATATATATAAATATATATATATATATATATTTTTTTTTTTTTTTGAGATGTAAGACGTTTTCTGTTTAACAGAGAGTAGATTGTTTCAACACATTTCTAAACATAATAGTTTTAATAACTCATTTCTAATAACTGATTTATTTTATCTTTGCCATGATGACAGTAAATAATATTTAACTAGATATTTTTCAAGACGCTTTTATACAGCTTAAAGTGACATTTAAAGACTTAACTAGGTTAATTAGGTTAACTAGGCAGGTTGGGGTAATTAGGCAAGTTATTATAAGTTATAATTTTGTCCTTAAAATTGTGTTTAAAAAATTTAAAACTGTTTTTATTCTAGTTGAAATAAAACAAATTAGACTTTTTCACACAAAAAAATATTATTAGATATACTGTGAAAATCTCCTTGCTCTGTTAAACATAATTTGGTAAATATTTAAAAAAGAGAAAAAATTCCAAAGGGGGGCTAATAATACTGACTTCAACTGTACAATGTGTAATTTTTGAACAATTTTTTTAAACACAAGCATCATTTTTGTGTGTATAAAAGGCTTCTTTAAAAATAAAAACTTCCCACCTCCTTGTTTTTGAACAAACATATAGTATGGGCAGTCCTGGGTTGATACTTGCATTACTGATTAGAACTCAACATAAAAAATGTAGTTTGTAACATAATCTATATCAGAGATGGCCAAACTAGGGCCTGCAGGCCGAAGTTGGCCCATGATAACCTTTGATTTGGCCCACCATCCTATCTGAGAAGAGAGGGAGAATTAGTGGATGGTTTAAAGACTGTAATTTCATTATAATTCAAATATTTTTTTTTTTATAAGCTACAAAAAACTCAATTTCAAATAAATGTTGTAAATAAATCTGTTTTTTTTATGTATGTACTGTCACCTGACAGATAACAATGCAGAGACATCAGTGAGCAAATAAAGGCAAATTCTGATTGATCCTGCAGTGTACTCAGCATTGAACTCCACTGTTGTTTAGGTTTATGTAAATTGTTTGTGTTTTAATGTAATTAGTTATAATTTCAAATTATACTGCATTGGTTAATACGATATAAAGTAATATTTTTATTTTAATAATTCTTTTATTTTATTATTTTGTTTAGTTTAATATTTATTTTTAAACATTATGAAATAAATTAGGAAATGACCTATGGAAACTTTTGCTTCACGGCACTCAATGATATTTGGTTTTTGGCACTTTACCCTTCATACGTAAAGGTTTAGGCACCCCTGATCTATATTTTAAATAATGTGACTGGACTAATGTTTTCCATTACTGGGTTGCTGCTGGAAGTGCATCCCCTGTCGCATCCCCTGATTTATAAAGGGACTTAGCCGAAAGGAGAAAAAAATGAATAAATGAATGATTTTACTATGTTTTGGGTTAATATTAGATTATATTTGACTTTTTTATCAAATACAAATTTTAGGAGGTAATATAAATATTTGACCCTCAATATAGAGGTTCAGACAAACAGTTATGTTGTTCCTGTATTACATAAACAGTAAATTATATAACAAAGAAAAAATCTTAGCATTACTTTTTACATGATCAGGCTGCATCTCCACCAAAGCTTTTTTTTGCGCTGCAGAAACATGAGTGCTTTTCCTTAAATCAGCTGTGAGCACTTCTCCAACTGTCAAAGTATTTAAAAAACACTGAGCACTCAGCAGTGAACATAAAACACATGTTCAACGCCTGGCTAGTACACAGCCAGAGTTTTTAAAAAACTTCCATTGCTTCTATTGACAACAACTTGGGGAAAAAGACTCAGCTTGTGTTTCCTCAGCACAAAAGCTTCGGTGGACACGTAGCCAAGTAAATGCTGGTAAATATAATAAAAGTATATTAATCATAATATGGCGACGCATAAAACATATGCTGGATAAGTTGGCGGTTCATTCCGCTGTGGCGACCCCAGATTAATAAAGGGACTAAACCGAAAAGAAAATGAATTAATGAATAATCACAATATGTAATCATTCATTCATTCATTTTCTTTTCGGCTTAGTCCCTTTATTAATCCGGGGTCGCCACAGCGGAATGAACCACCAACTTATCCAACATGTTTTTACTCAGGGGATGCCCTTCCAGCCGCAACCCATCTCTGGGAAACATCCACACACACCCATTCACACTCATACACTACGGACAATTTAGCCTACCCAATTCACCTGTATTGCATGTCTTTAGACTGTGGGGGAAACTGGAGCACCTGGAGAAAACTCACGCAAATGTAGGGAGATTATGCAAACTCTACACAGAAACGCCAACTGAGAGATTATATTAAGTGCATTTTCATACAATGATATGCAATTATGTAAATTAAATAAAAGTGTAATCTCCTCAAAACCGAAATGCTAATTTTAAGTAGTAATGTAATCTATTTACAAGTTTGTTTTATTGACAATGTTTTGTGACGATTCCAATTACAGGTGTAAAGTACTTTCAAAATATAGGTTAAGCCAATTTTTTAGTAAAAAAAAAATCAAGCATAAAAACAAAATGCAGCATAAAATATACAGTGGGGGAAATAAGTATTCAACATGTCACCGTTTCTTTTCAGAAAACCTATTTCTAAAGGTGCTATTGACTTGACAGATGTTGGTAACAACCAAATAAATCAATATATCCAAATAAAGCAATATGAATTAGTTTACAAATTATGTTTTGTGAAATAAAATTAAATGACACTGGGAAAAAGTATTGAACACATGAAGAAAGGGAGGTGTAGAAATCCAATGAAAGCCCAGACAGCAGCTAAAATCTCTCAGTAGTTATTCAGCAACCCTCTGCCCTCCGTCAGTGTAAATAAATATAAGCTGCTTTAGGTCAGCATCTACATTAGCAGGAGGATGAAGGTGACACTAGAGTGGACATTTCAGCAAGACAATGATCAAAAACACAGCCAAGGAAACTCTCAAATGCTTTCCGAGAAAGAAAATCAAGCTGTAGAATGGCCCAGCCAATCACCTGACTTGAGTCCAATAGAAAACAATTATTAAAGATCAGATTTGATAGACGAGACCCACAGAACCATCAAGATGTTTACACTCTGTTGAAAAATCAACAAATCTGTTCAAGTCTTTGAAAAAAAAAATCACATTGCATTGTTATTACACAGAATTATTTCAGATTTTTTTTTTTTTATGTTTGTATTGTTTGGGTTTTTACTAAAATCTGGTGTAATGCCATGTCAACAGCTTCTTTAGAATGTTTTTTCGAGAAAACAAAAACACATAATATGTTGAATACTTTTCCCCCACTGTAATCAACAAAAAGTACCTAGCCTGCCAAAACTACCTAAAATTTACAGGGCTACCGAATTTTTGAAAACTGATTACGTAATCCAGATATGTATTCTGGATACAAGTGGCTCTTTGACAGTAAATAAATTCCATTTTACAACATCAGCCCCCAAAACTGGAAATCCAGTTTATATTTTAAATTCATCGTCACAGATTCGTGCAATCTATGAAAACGGTGTGAAATGTGATCCAGATCCTCAGCCTCGGTAATTAAACTGTAATTAGGTCAGCGCTGCGGGCTCCTGCTGCTTTGAGTAAAGGTATGCATTTCCGAGCGCTTGCTGTCTCTCTCTCTCTGTGTTTGTGTTTCAGATGGTTCGGGCTACGAGTCTCCAGAGCCCTTCCTGACTGATCAGAGCCAGCGCTGCGGGGCGGACGGCCCGTGCCTTGCTGTGCTGATGCTGCTGCTGGTGTTTCTGCTGGCCGGCGTTTAGGAAGCTCCTCCAGACTGTCTGCCCTCTCCCTACATCTATACTCCCTCAGGGAAGCCCTCTCTCATCCAGACCCCCAGACCATAGGCTACTGCGCCGTCATCCTTTTTTTTTTTGTAACCGAACAAGCTCCTCGCAGACCAGTCGAGGACGGAGACGTTCGCGCTGCTTTTGCAGTTTTGTGGAATGTGACCTTTTATATATGCTGTCATGTAATCGAGGCTTGTATTCATGTGCCATTTCGTCACGTTTCAGGGCGTCGCGGTTTACAAAAGATTTCAGACACTCATTTGGATTGTCCTATCGGCCCCCCACATCATTTATAAACCACATTCAGCCCTAGAATTAAAAGGGGATTTCCCTCTCAACACCAAAGGACTCTCTTCAGAGTTTTAGTTTTATTTTTTGGTTGAAGGGAGAGAAGAAATGTGTTTTGTGGTAGCCAGCAGCTAGGAACTTAGTGTTAGACATTCACATGCATGTGAAACACTGTGAAACTGATCTTCTTACAATAGTAACAATATATTTTTATTAGCAAAAAAATCAACAGAAGTAGACCTTTTAGCCACTCTTCTGGTGTAAGGCTCAGCTGGTGGATCAGACGCAGCCAAATTCAGAGCTCACTGCTGGACGTCACCTCAAAAACTGTGGCCGGATGAGGACTTTGAATCTCTGAAATGAGAATAAATGCTTTGGTGCAAACCCAAATGCCGCTTAAAAATAAAAAAACTCTGCATTACTATTTTTTTTTCCAGCTCCGCGGGACAAACAAGCAATGAGTGTTGCAAGAGTAAAACGATCTGCGAGGATCAGGGACTAGCCACTTTTAATTCACCGGCGCACGCACTGCGGGCATGGACGAAAAGGAAATGGATTTTTTTGTATTCTATTTCATGTTATTTTTGTAGCATTTAAAAGCAACATTAATTATTCATGTGATATGAGGAACGGTTTTAGCGTCTTGAGTGGCGATACAGTGTGTGTGTGTGTGCGTGTGTGTGTGAGTCAGCAGCAGGACGCTTTCACTCTCTCACTCTTATACTGTTGTTATTGTGGTCTTGTCAAACTGTATTCAGTATTTAAAGAGACAGAAAGCATTTCTTTCCATCTGATTTGATTGTGTCCTCTTTTTCATGTGACGTTTTGTACAGCCAACATGTTCTGTCGAACTAAAGAAACATGCTGAAATGGAAAAACAAAAAATAAAGCGTTCTTTTTTTGTCTACGAGGTGCACTCATGTGATAGAAGGATGCATTGTTGACAAGTGACATTTTGGCTTGGCTTTGTATGGCATGGATGTAAAGCTATATTAAATATTTTACAATATTTTTGTGACGATCTCTGCAGGTGTTGGTTTTAAAATTCTAAAAGGTCCTTTTTTATTCTTTCACAAAACATTAAATGGCATCACAGATCACTTTTCTAACCGCTTATTCCACGGATACATTTTTAGGTAACTTTATGAAGCATATGATTAGTTCAGATGCAAAAACCTCTAGTGCCATCTGAAATTTCCATCAAAAATGAACATTTTTCTCAGCCTTCTTTGTTCATGTTGAGTTATTTTACTTTAAAGACCACGAAAAGGACTTTTCCTTTGCCGTAAAAGTAAAATTACTAAACCTGCACACAGGAGCCTGATAAAAATGCTAGTTTTAGAAGAAAATTTCTGACGGCATTTAAAGGATTTTGCATCTAAACTTTTCATATTTATTCATCATTGTTGCATGCTCATAAGAATACCTATTATAAGAGTAAAAAATGAAAACTTGCTGTCAATTTACTCTCAGGCCTTCCAAGATGTAAATGACTCAGCTGAAATCATGAAATCTCTGGGTGATTCATATTATGCAATTAACTGCTGCTAGCACTTGGAGTAAAAAATATACAGGCAAAAGCTGCAATAATGGTACAAAAGATTACTATTTCAAATATATGATGGTCTTTTGAATTTTTTTTTTTTTCATCAAAGAATCCTGAGAAAAAACTCTATAAAAATATTAAATACAGTGCTCAGGATATAGTGTATAACTACACCTCTCACAAATCTATCTATTTAAATTAATATTTTAATATGATGCTATACAATATTATATCTGTGCATATGCATTAGATTAGTCAGTACTGAAGCCATATCTGGAGCTTATCTAACAAAATAACTTATGATAATGGTCCAAAAATTAGTACACCCAAATTTATGTTATAGAAAAATATTAAATACAAATTTTAAAAAGAGGAAAAATCAAGAGAAGCAAAAAAAACAATAATAATAATTTTGGTTGAAATATTTAGGATTGTAATTTTTTTATTTTTTGCAATATTTTGCTTAAATTCAATTTAATTGTATTATTTTTTACTTTTTAGATATGTTTGGTGACTAAAGTATTTTAATAAATATACATGTTAAATAAATATGTTTTGTTTAAATGTACTAAAATACATTGCCTATATTTACTGAGAAATGGAGAAACATATTAATTTTCAAAATGGGCTGTACTCAATTATGCTGAGCACTGTAATACTCTTTTAAACATCATTAATGACATGTTTCTTGAGCAGCAAATCATCAGAATGATTCCTGAAGGATCATGTGGCACTGAAGATCAGAGTAATTATGAAATCCAGGCTTATTATCACTGAAAAATATATTTAAAAAACAAAATACTTATTTTAAATATTAATAATATTTTACAATAGTACTGATTTTACTGTATTTTTTCACATTTATTTTGTTTATTTGTTAATTCAACATTTCTAAATATATTATCTGTACTACAATTATTATTCATAAAATAAAATGGCAATTATAGTGATAATAGATCCATCAAATAAATTATATTTATTATCGACAATTGTCTAGACAATATGCTATTATCTACTGAAAGAAAAATTAAATGTCAGATTTGATCTAATATTTGATATTATGAAAAGGCAAAGGTAAATGCAATAACTTGGTAACTTTGGTGACATGAGACTTTTGCATAGTATTGTGTATATATCCAAATTACATTTTTTTTTCTCTGTTTATAGAAATATCAGAAAACATGTACACAAAAAATTAGAACACTCGTCAGAACAACATTGTTTCTTCAAGTAAAAGTTTCACGGTTTTGTAGAGGTTGTCCTGAGGTTTTCTGAAATGATGTGCTATGTAACATCAGATCTCTTTCAGCAGAATTCTACTTTAGATTTAGGCTGTCATATCTTTCATTTTCCTACAGGTTATTTCACTCTACCTCTACATAGTAATATTAAGGTGTGGGCTCTGTGGAGGACATTTCATGACTGTATGGGTTTCACCCACTGTTTTTTTAAACAGGATTTCACAGCATCAGGAGAGTGTTTGAGATCATTACCATGCTGAAAAATAAAACCATTACCAAAGAGGTGCTTTCCAGAAGTAATAGCATAATGGATTAAAGCCTGTCTGTATTTTTCAGAAACAAATGCCAACACCACTGGCAGAAATGCAGAAACCAGGGCAGAGCCTCCAGCATGTTTCACTGAGGGCCTCAAGCATTCTTTCTTCCATCTCTCTCTCCAACTGTGCCATTCACGTGTAGAAAACAATTGATCCACATAAATTCCAACTCTAATCTGTAATTTCTGGCTGTATTCTAACAAGATTTTTGTTTTTGAATTGTCATAATGCCTTCACTGAAACAACGTAATGGTGGCATAAAACGTTTGCACAGTATTGTATGTTAAAGATATTACGTCCAAGTATAAGTTCTTCTCTTGTGATTTCCCGTGTATTAACCCTACAGTAGTCAACATTTAAAGGGGATCAAAACCTTTCATCATTGTTGTTTTTGATTTTAGGATAACACCCATTCTTGTTTTAGGATGACTTTGTTTAAGTTTTTCGTTTTTGATTTTAGGATAACACCCATTCTTGTTTTAGGATGACTTTGTTTAAGTTTTTCGATCCACCTCAAATGTTGACTTTGTGTGACCCTGGACTACAAAAGCAGTCTTAAGTTGCACAGTTATATTTGTTTAAGGGGAGTCAAAAATATACATTTTAATGTAATGATATTAAATATCATGTTCCTACCATAAATATAGCTTATCTTAATTTTTTATTAGTAATATGTATGACTAAGAACTTAATTTTTACAATGTTAATGCTATTTTCTCAACATTTAGATTTTTTTCTGATTTCTCATAATCACTGTTTAAATTTTCGTTGTCATCCTTTTTAGAATGTGAAAATGTTTTTTCATACCAGAGGCAATTACCTGCTACACTTTTTAAAATTAAGGTGATTACATATAAGAACCACTTTCAAATGCCTACCACCCCTCTACTGTAAGGGGTATTTTCTGTTAAAGACAGTCCATTAAAGGGATAGTTCACCCATAAATTTAAATTATCATAACTTCTTCATGTTGTCTCAACTCAAATTGATAAAGTCAACATAATTGTATTTACAAATTTAAGTAGATTGAACATAAAACAATTAAGCTGTTCCAAAAAAATCTCAAGAATTGTGTTGATTCAACTCATTTTAAATAAGTTGTTTGAACAAGCAGCAAAAAATATTTATGTGAGTGTTGTTCAAAACCTGTTTGACTTTCATTTGATAAACACAAAAGAAGATATTCTGAAGAAAGTTGGAAACCAGTAACCATTTCATGTATTTGTTTTTCCTACTATGGAACCAATTGTTGCAGGTTTTCTTTTTTTTTTTCTTTTTTTTTTCGAAATTCAAAATACAAACATCAAGGTTTGGAACCATTTGAGGGAGAGCAAATAGTGAGTAAATTTTTATGGGTGAAATATACATTTAAAGATTCTAGGTACACCAATTAAGATCTTGTGGGTATATTAAAGCCCAACCAGTTTCATCCAATGTCCTGAAATAAGACCAGCATCGAAAAACAAATATCTCCTTCCAAAATGTGATAAAACCTAACATGTTAAATACTTCAGCAGCAGTTATGTAGATTATTTATACTCAGGCATTCTAAATATGATTGGCTTTAACTTTGTATTTTGGGCTGGAATGAGTTCTGGTCATACATGACTTGACATTCAGGCGAGCGTCTGCTGATACCGGCTCTGGGCTTTTTGGCCTGGATGCTTATCCAACTATTAGGTGAGGGATCAGTAGCCTGCCTGGGCTCAGAAAAGTGAATGTCCTGTCTGAATATTTTATGCAATGTAGACTATGATAAAAAATACATGCGCTAGAAAAGCATCAGTGCGGGATCTGCAGAGTTTGAGATGGCACTGCAGATGCAAACCAAATCAAACCTGCGCTTACAGGCAGATCTTGATGGATGATCATTAAGAATGATAAAAAGTGGCTAAGTAAAAGATTGCGAGTAGATTTATGTCTTACATTGTACATCTGCATTCTGTGTCACAGCTTGATCCTCCTTGCGCTGTCATTCGCAATTACAATTTTGCATAATTTTAATGAAACGCTGGATTTAATGTAAGTAAAACAGCATGCGTGTATGTTACATGCTGATTTTCCAATGGAAGATAGATGTTTGCTGCCCCCTTGTGAACAAGACCTTTTAGCACTTTTGGTCTGTCCGTTTATTTTTGCCCAAAAGGTTATATATAGAGCTCATATTTTGAATAGGCTATTTAAAGAGATAGTTCACAAAAAAAATGTAAGTAAAAACGGAAAAGAAAACCTTTTGAAGAATGTTCATTGCTTAAAGTTTAATATTTTTAAACCAAAGAAAATATTAATTACGCTACAAATAATTTTGTGTTTAATGGACGTCAAATAGACATCTAAATGTAGACAGCTTGGCTAAAACAAGGCTAAACTTGGGCTATCAGTGAAAGTCTAATAGACGTCTAAAAATAGCCCAAAACTTGACTAGTCGTCAAATAGACAGATTAGACAGACTTTATAGGTGTAGTCACTCATTTTTGTTTATTTGACGACTAGTCTAGTTTTGGCCTATCCTTAGATGTCTATTATTTTCACTGACAGCCCAAATTTAGCCTTGTTTTAGCCAAGACGACTATGTTTAGACATCTATTAGACATCTTTTAAAAACAGGGTAGTTTGCCATCACCATTTTTCATCTTAAGATGATCTGCCATCATTTACTGGATTATTTTACAGTATATTATCTTCAATACACAAGATTTTGTTTTTAATAATAATAATATTTAGATCGCTTGGTTCTCATTTTCATTTGGTGTTTACTCTAGTGACCCCTGATAAATAAGAGTTTAAGTTGAAGGAAAAATTAATGAATGAACAAAAGGTTCTCATTTAATTTATAATTCACAAAATGGAACCAAAATGTTTTATTTAACATTTTTTAAAGTATATGAAGAATTTCTGTCATACT